ATTTTCTGCAACAGATTCAACATTTTAATTACATTTTAAATATGGTTGAGATTGAGGTTTATTTCATAAGCTAGCCAGTTTTATCCTTACTGTGGAATGGTCAATTATGAGAGGTTTCGTTTAGTTTTTTTGTTGTTGTGTGATGCTTTAATTGTACTGTTAAATGTGTGAGTACGCCCCAAATCAATTTTACAATTGGGACAATAAGCTCATACTAAAATAAGCTGTAAAACGAAACACAAGGTGTTTGAAAAGGGAGCAGGAAGAAGCAATGGCTTATCCAATCCTGTCCGTAAGTCTTTTTCAAACAAGTTCTTAATCAAACTATTGATTCAATAAATACAAATACACTCTCACCTACAGATGAGAGCTTTATACACACATTAATTAAAAATAACATTTTATCTTGTTCACTTTTTTACACATTATTTATATATTATGTACGACAATATTTTGACTTTACTTAGTTTAATCTAAAATCGAAATCACTTCACAAACTGATATTAAGTGTATAGCTGTATTACAATATATTTTCCTCTCATGTTGAACTTTCCCTGTCAGGTTGAGGTTTTCAAATGTGTCACCACCACAACAGCTGAGCATGGTGGCAGCAGCATCATGCTCTGTTTAATGCAAAAAGTGGATGGGATAAAGTAAAATCATCGCATAAACACATTAAAACTGTTTTAAAATAATTAAGTGTAACATTTCACTTATGAAACGACTCCCAGGTCAACAGGTGACAATTTTTTAAATCATGTCAGAAGGTTTTCGTTTTGTAATTAATCACTTCGGGGCTGAAAAAGAGGTCAAAAGTCAACTAATTATGCTAGATGGCTTCCAACTTGTGTGCATCTTACTCCTTTACATTTATACAACTATCATGACACAAATATTCACTTACATGTGTATATAAATTAACCTGTATGAACAACTGGTGAAAATTCACAATATTCAGATTTGTGAACTCAATGCACTGATTTTTTTTGCTCATGAATTTCAAAAAAAGAAAAGTTTCTGAGCATTGCCTCAATTACTGTCAAGCTAATTTCTTTTATGAAGTAAATGAATGGTGCACTTCATTCTTTTCAGTTAGAAAAACTTCCTGGACATTTGGAAATCTTTCCTTGAAGCAACAGAAAGTTAATCTTAACCATCTTTATAACTTCTTCTTCTTCTACTTGAAGTAGCGATAAACTTGCAGATCTGACAACCTGCTGGATTTTATCGTCATCTTCAATAAACACAAAGGATTTGGGACTGAGCCGCCATTTTATGACGCTTTATGGGATCTAAGTGATTGTGCGTGTAAGTGTTTGATTATATCCGACAGGAAGGAAACAGGAAACATGAGTTGCATTCAGTTTTCTTTGAGTTGTTTCAAGTGTCAGCTTTATAATTTCACATCAGTTACAGGTGTTAATCACTGGGTAGTCCAGAGGTGACTAATCTTTTAGAAAAAAAAAAAGTTACACAGGATTATACAAAACACTTTTTCTGCTGTTCAGTCATAATAAGTTACACTGGTGTCTATTTACAAATCAGGCTAGAAGTACAGAGCTGGTGTTATATGTTTACTCAAAATGATATTTACAAGTCTATACACAACCCGGTGTCGGCCCGACCTGCTGGAGAGACAAAGAAGAGAAGCAGAGTTAGCTACATGGATTATCAAGGCGTTAGTATGTGGTATTAAAAAAACTTATTTACCTATAAGTTATTCAGCAGGGAGTTCTGAACGCTTTCATAAACTGCACTGTAGACATCCTCCTTCGTTGTTGTTCCATCAAGATATTCTGTCGACAAAAATATAAATTAAAGTCAAAACCTCTCAGCAGGAAAGTGTTTTATGTCTGATTTGGTGTTTTTGCAAACCTATTCTGCTGCAGTTGTTGTCCATCTCCTTCCTGTGCTTCAGGTACATGGGCCAGACGTGGCCGTCGAACAGGCCGGGAGGGTCTGGGACTGTGTATGTTCTGGTACTGCAAAGACCGGATCGGTCCAGAGTTACAGCATGCTCTGATATGCATCCTGAAAATTACTCCAACAGCTGCTCACCTTCTCCTCCGCTTGCATTCCTCGTAAGGAATGGAGATGTAGAAACATTTGTCATAGACATCGATGAGAGGCCTGCGGGGTGGGGGACAGGATCTCCGGTCAGGGAGAAGCTTTGAAGGTCAAGAGGTCGGCTAAATGGTGACCTACTTATAGTTGTAGATGAGGAATCCCTCAATGATAAGAATATGGATCCCTCTCTGCTCCGAGTCGGACTCCTCGGCTTCGGGTGACAGACTGACTCCGTGCGAACGCGCGAACTTGACGGGGTTTTCCTGCCAGCCTTTCACGGTGTTCACCATTGCTTCCATGTCCAGGGCGCTGATCACTGATGAAGAACAAGGAGACAAACAGAACAAAAACAAAGCTTCACCACGTGCGCAGCCAACGTTTCACACCAATTTATTTCAATCAGTGAATGACGTAGCATTCACAGTATATTTATTTATGTGGTAGTCTACGACTGATTGGTTACCACTGAAGAAATGTGCAGGAAAGGAAAAAGTACATTACTGAAGGGTTTTCCTACGTGAAATCCACTCTTACCATCCCACTGTCTAAAGCCGTCCTCCCCGACTTGTATTTGATCGGGTTTCTGAAATAACAGTCACCAACAAAACATTGCTGCAACCCAGTAACCAATGGGAGCTGATCCCTCCTGGACAGGACAAGTCAGGGACTCGTCTCCACCAAAAGTGAACGCGCGGAAACGATTTTTTTAACGATATTTCAGCTGGATTTGATCTCCTTTATTGTTACTTTTTAAAATTATTTTTACCATATGGTCATAGTGTATGCTGATGACGCCTTTATTTAAATCTGCAGAATTTTTTAATAATCTTTTAAGAGAAAACAACGTGCATTTCTTTGTTTTTAACTCTGCTGTTTTCCCAAAATAGGGAGGAAAACAATGGATAAGCAAACAAAAACTGGCGGCCATGAGTACAGACGTTTTAGTCATTTAACAGTAAAGTCTGACTTTTAGTGGGGACGCTCAGCCCTTTCATTGGCTGTCCAGGAGACAATCAGCCAGATGATTACAAGGCTGCTTCGATGATAGGACATCTGCAGGGCAGACTGGCCATTTCTTACTTTTTAAGAATAAAAAAAAGGCTTCAAGCGCAAATAAAACTTATGAGAAATATTCTAGCTGCCAAACAAAAATAGTTTAACACATAACAGAAAAAGAACACCAGACTTCTTTCTTTGTCTTACCTTGAAAAAGTCATCCTGATGCACCACACAACAGTTAGGTAATGTCTTTAGCAGTCTATTTGTCAAAGTGGTCTTCCCACCGTTGGTCACTCTGAATTTAATACCACACAAAAGTGAGTTACATCTCAATTTCTTGTCAAAGCAGCTTGGTATCTATTTTAGCTGAAGCTTACCCTCCGATGCCGATGATGAACTTCATTTCTGACTTCTTCTGTGTTACTGGTTACCTCAGGAATTCAGTAAGTAAAAGGAGGGAACCCCACCAAACCAAACTCTCTCTCTCTCAAATGTTTCAGCTAAAACCTCCCTTTCCTTCTCCTTCTCCACGGACGTCCCCCCCCTCTTTACTACTTCATTGATAGACTATCTCCTTCTGGCGCATATAAAGGATGTGGCGGCCGTGTCACTGCCTGCTTGACCAATTGGAGCCGCTTTTCACCAGCCAATAGTCTGCCTCCTCAGAGCCGGAAGCACCAACTTCAGAGGATGCACAGTTGTGTGAAAGCTGATCCTAAAATTTGCACCTGCTCTCAGGGGTCAGAGGAGGCAGGCCGACCACATTCAGGGAAAGTACAGAAGCTAACTTGTGGCAGAGCTGTAAAATACAATTAAACCACAATGAAGTCACAAGGAGGATACATCAGAAAAGAAGATGGGGAAACCTGGGAGAGGGACAAGTTTAGCCTGCAAGAATTCAAGTTTCTTACACGTAAGCGGTTTAAATCCAAGAAAGGTCATAATTTTTTAGGACAATACAACCTAACATTTCTGGGCAGATGCAAAAGCGTCGCTCTACCAAGCAGGCTGTGGAGTGCAAACCAGGAGCTCTATAATTAGTCCGCAGCGTCTGGCTTCTGCATCATGAATATTTCTGATGCAACCAGAGTACATGGCGGCCCTCCATGTGGGCAAAATGGCGCGCCTGTCAGCTAAAGCTGTGATAAAACCTTTCTCTGAAGGTTAGCGCCTGCTGCTTATCGGCTCTGGTCGTTACACACCTCCGGATGTGAGTCTGTCCTGTTTATTTTGTATTAACACAGTATTTGCCCAGTACTACAAATACATTTTACAGTTTGTTCTTATCTCTCGGAGAGATAAAGGTGTGAAGGAGGTGAACTTTGAGTTTTAGATAAAAGCTGACATGGTGTCATGTTTCACGGTCAGGAATGTAGCGATACATGGTGGCACTGTGTGACTAAAGACTGATGTTTGTTAACATAATTAAAAGGATTCACACCATTCAAATGCAAAATACGTCTACTTACTAAAAAGACTTTTATCTTTAGTCACTGAGAAATGCAGGGTTAAAATAACCTACTGTATTTTTAGGACTATAAGTCGCTACTTTTTTCCCCAGGTTTTGAACTATGCGGCTTTTCTGTGGATTTTTCTTCAACCACCAGGGGGCGCTTTAGCAGGAAGTGAATCATTGGATGTCAAAATTGGAAATCAAAGAAGAAAGTGCTAATTTTCATTTAGAACAAGCACATGCTAGCAGGAGACACGACGGATAAATTTCTTCAAACTCAAAGACATTTCATTTCATCTCGTAAGGAGCTCACACAAAATCATTTATAGATCAAAATTACTTTGGTCAATAAGTCACGTTGCCAGAGATGTTCAAGGCTGAATAAATGGCAATAAAAGATAAGAAAATATGTTCTGTTAAATACCCAACTGAGCCCTGAAGGTTAGCATTCATGACACAGACAAATCCAGTTTATTTTTTGTTGTTTTATTTTTTAGAAACATTAAATGGCACATTTTCATAGATAACAGTTAAAGTAATTCTTCAGGCTCTCTTTCTTTAAATATATTTAATTTTATCTATAACAATTCAGTCTTTCAGTCTTGAAAAAGTACTGCCTTTTTTTTATTTAAAAACAAGACAAATACAAATACCAAAGAAGGAAAGGATACAAACAAGCATGCCGACTGCATATTTAACGCTGGAAAACCTGACGACTGTACAATACTTTTGCATCAGTAACATCTAGAACATGTTAAAGAAGAAGAAAATCATTGCACATCATTCAGTAAGCAAATTCATTAAACCAAAGAAAAACCCATGCCAAAATGTTTCAGTTTGATTTTATCTGCAAGTGGAGTTGTTTTAAGGAATCTGTACAGCTTTCTTTTAATTTAAAATAGTTGCCATGCGTCATAGTACAACTCAATCTCACATGCAGAAAGCAAACGGTTTTATCTGTAACATCTTGTTGTTAACCGGTTCTGAATTGGTTTAAGTGAGAAACAAGAGAAATACTGAGGAGTGATTGTCCTGCAGCTAACGGGTCCATTCTGTGCAAGAAGCTGCTGAGTTTACTGAATGGCCATTCCCCAGCAGATCTTCAACTCATTGTGCTGCAACGCAAAAACAAAAAATTTAATATGAGTATTTTGTGCAACCTTTATGCAACAATAGGTGCATTGTTCACATAGATATCGTTAGGACTCGGTAGTATGTAGAGGCTGTAAATCTAAACTAAATCCAACCGGACACATATCACACTGGTTGGGAGACAGAGCCTGTTTCCATTCCTGGGATGTCAGCCAGTCCACCGGCTGCAGGACCTTTTGATATATGAGGGCAGAGTGGAGCGCACAGACCCACAGGACAGCTCATGGGGTTGGATTTCAGAAATAACCCCATGTACTTTTCCCACCCCGACTGGCCCAGGCAGGTATTTCTCCTGATTTCATGGTCGGTACTGCAGCTCATGACTCGTCTGTGAAGCCCAGTAAAAATAGACCTGGATGCTTCTGCGTAGATGAGGGGAGCAGCTGTGTTTTATGTAACATCGGGGAGCCTGCCTGAGGATTAGCTAACATTTGGATTTGGATTCACACGTGGGCTGAATTGCAAGACCTGAAACATGACTTGGCAGAAAAGGAGCCAGGCTTGATGTCTGACAGTAATCAGAGAGCAGCATTCAGTCGGTTCACATTCACAAATACAGTTGTTCCTCAAATCGCTCTTTAATTGGATGTAATGGCTGACGTTTTTATGTCAAAACATACTTCATCGTAACCAAAGACTAATCTATGATGTCTTGCTAAAGTATCAACATTTTGTCCAGTTACAGCCACGAACTCCAATCATTCCATCACATTAGACCTGATGTGACGGATCAACGCAGTAATGCAGTTTTGTGAGGTGGAAGAAAAATCATTCATGACGTTCATGCTCTTGTATTCAACACATTGTAGAGGAACCTTTTGCTGTAATAAAGATGCAAGTTGTTGTTGGTCATTTTCTGTTTATAATGTAATTTTGTACATCAAGAAAGAACTTTTCTGCCTATTATTCTATAGAGGTAACTCAATATAAGTCACCTAAAGACATCAATTTTCTCATTTTGAGTTTGGTCTTTACTTTGACTGAGCCATTCTAAGCCTTTGCTACGATGGGTGTTGTAAGATGCTTTGCACAAATTTACATTTGAGGGTGCAGGTGCCTGTATGTGATTTGTGGATCCCAAAGATCAGAGACAACGGATTGGTGGCCTGACTAGAGATGATGTAAAGGACTTCCTGCTGTGGACTTCCTGTCATCCATCTTCCGCTCTTCCCAACCAGGTTGAATGTGGTGTATTTCCATTACAAAAATGCACAAACAAAAATGCAAAAACACAATGTCGCAACTGCAATGTTTCCATTGTATAAGAAACGCAACTGAAGTCACACATGTATAAGTTTGTCCACGTGATAATTCATTAAAAACATGCAGTGCCATGATCCTCCAACTACTTCCTGTCGTCTTCTTCTTCATAGTTTGAGCCAGTAGCAACATCTGGTTGAGAGGAGATGTTTTCTGGGTATACTTTTACTAAGTGAAATTGTTGAGATAATGAGTTAACCTTGAGAAACCAAACTTTCTTTGTACCAAGATCAAGAGTTGATTGGTGTTAACCTAATTCCATCCTTCCAATATATGCACAACTGCACGCAATGCCTTGCATTTGAAAGGTAGAATCAGGTTTAATCATCTTGTGATCTCGAGAAAAGCATCAGGGAAAAGTAAATGTGGAAAAAGTCTCTTGGCTTTTATACAACTCTTCCAAAAAGGCCAGAAGTCTGGATTAGGGGTGAAATCTGAACTGTAAACAGATTCCAGACCTACTTTGAACCTCTTGGCTGGTTCTTTAAATAATGTTGTCTATAACATTATAGACAACCTGGTCAAACGTACAGGTTATTTTTTAAACTTCAAACCTGATTTAACGTTCTCAACAGCTTTATCCCTGATGGCCTGGGGTGTTCCTTGGTCTACATGATGCTACTCTTTCTCTGATGCTCTCCAACAAACCTTTGAGGCCTTCACAGAACAGATGGATTTATAACTTGTGCTATAGTGTGACAAACATAAAAAAAAATCCAAGTGCATTGGATACTTTTGCAGGACATCTTGTATTAGCACCGTTAGCGGAGGATCTTTGAACTATTTCAAGAATTAAAGACTCGAGGTGATGTAATAATTAGGCGCCTAGAGCTTGGATGCCAAGATTCCCAACACACGTTTCTGCAGGATTTAATTTGCTGTTTCTTTTGCACACAGAAGCAAATGTGTGTGAAAATCAAACTGTCCCTGTGTGTCAAATATAAGTTACAGAGGACTGACATTACAAGCCGGAGTGCAGAGTTAACGACGGACCATTTAATGACTGGGATGTCTTACCTTAATGTCAGATGTCACTGTTAACCGATGCTAGCATTGACTTTTGCCTGAAAACAACATTCAAATAAAGCAATAAAAAAACATCAGTATTTTCTCTGTCGTCTAATGCTAAAGATTAGCTGACAAATATTTGCAAAAATAATAAACAGAATTTCTTAAATTGATAGCTGATGTGACAGAAATGGAGCTAAAAAAAGGTTTCTGAGAGTGTTGCATAACGTAGCTGCATGAAGCAGAAAGAGGTCACCTTTCTCCAGGAAGAGCTGACTTGGTCTGCTGCTGCTGCTGCTCATGTTCCTGTCTGCAGGCAAAAGACAGTTTTGTTACTTTAAATAATGGTGGAAATGTCTTTTTTTTTTTTAAGGAAAATGTGTGGCTTACCTCAACTTTTGTGCTTTTAGCTTCTCTTCATCATACCTAAATTAGATGAAATAATGTGAGTAATATGCTGCTTCATTCCCACTTGCAGCAGCAGTATGGTACAAAAATGTCTTTATAAGAAGATACATGATGGCTTCACATAGTGTTGGCTGCAGTGACTTTCACAGATCTATGTTATAGGTATACTTATATGAGATACATACAAAGGAATAACATATGTTGGGCCAAAATCCATGTCTGTCATCAAAAACCAACACACTCCATGCTTTGGAACAAACTACACTTCTAAGGTTTTCTGAGACAAACAGAAAGTGTAACTGTTCCTTTAATTTATTTTTTTTTACAGCAGGTTTATTAAGAAGATGTTTCTTCTGAGATTGAAGAAAAAATATTGCATTTCAATTTGTGAGATACAAAAGAATGGGAAAGTCACATTATTGAATCAACTTGAAATATAGTTAATATTTTTAAGATTTTTCAGAAACGTTTTAACATTTTAAATAACTAAAGATTATAATTTGCTTTGCAGATATTGTAAGACAACAAATATTTTATAGAAAAGCCAAAACTTTTCTGGTCAATGATAAAGGGAAGTGTATAGTGTATAATAATATAAGTGTAATATAATTTGGTGTATTTTAGGGTCTCTTTAATGTTCTTCTGTCTATAAAGTAATATTAAATAAATTTGAATATATGTCCCAATAAGTCTGGTTAGTCAGATTAAAGGTGCCTTATGAAAATAACAACTTTCAACCAAGAATAAAACATACTTTTCCTTAAGCTCACATTTTTGTTTGTAAAAACAATTATTTTTAATTTTGAATGTCACGTTTTCATCAACGGTAAGCAGAAAAACATAATTAACAGAAATAAATGCTTTCAAACACCCATTTGTGTGTAATTAATCAATCTAATATGTTTCATTTAGTGATAAAGTTCCTAAAATAGTATTCTGTTGAATGGATCTGAATGTTTGCTTGAATTGTGCAAGATGTGCGGCATCTCAACAGCGACCCTTGGTGGTAGAGAGGACTTACTGCAGCACACAGTCGGGAATCTGCACATGCTCCATGGGGATGATGTGACTGAGCTCTTCCAGGGTGTGAACGTATCGGATCTTATCCAGGAACTTCACACTGTGGAGATCATGAACATGTAAAATTAAAGGTAAAATTTATCTAATCAAAACAGCTTCTGTTTGTTAGATAAGCTGCAGCAACACACTGTGTGATAGCAACCTGTGTTTTTATTCAGGGGATGCCTTTTCTTTTAAGGTTTCTGCATATCAAAATTCTACTAAATTTAAAATGTTGACTTATTTAGGAGTTAATAAAACTGACAAATGTACAAGTTGTAAACATGCAAAGGATAATCTGACAATTAATGAGGCGAATTAGTTTTCTGCTTGTGCTTAAGATGGAGTCATTTTGTTTACACACTGGAATGGTAAATACATCTCAGATAAAAAACAAATTTCCTTGTTTTCATATAAGAAAAACCTAACTTGACTTGACCCCAGTGTTCCCATTCTAATAAAGCTTTTATAGGGCTTACAACAGACAAAGATTTAAAAGATTTCAGACCAAATGAAGGGGAAATAATATTGTTTCCACAAGTTATTTACAATTAGTATGTAAGATGACAAATGTGGGGTCAAGCAAAACACCTACATATATATAAAAAATGTTATTGTAGCTTAATATTTAAATGCACAGCCTGGACAGCCTTTACTATTACGAATAATGTTCAATATTCTCTTTAAATTTAGGGGAATAATCACAACCAATAAGCAGACTGAGAGTAAATGTTTCTGACCTGATGAACGGTCGTGAGATGGCCAGGACGGTTCTGATAAACCATGTTGGATGTGCAATGATCAGACACTTCAGGTTTTTTCTCAGTCTGCAAACACAAACAACAAGATTTAAGCTCCGATATCTAAGCATGATTTTTGCTATTGATGTAATTTTTCTTACTTTCTGTCAATCATCTGGTAGCATCTCTTCAGCCAGCTGATTCCAGGCATCTTCCTGCGAGGAGTTGCTCCATTCAGGTAAACAATCATATAATCTTCAGCCACCAGCAGCTCCAGGCTGCTCACAACATACCTGAGAACAATGAGACTTAACTTAAAGCAAGGTTGTTGTTTTTTCCTCTGTGTCTGAGCCAAATGAAGGAGAGAGCACTTGACACTTCATCACTTCTATCAACCTGGTGCCTCAGAGTGACAATGCTGGTCAGAAGTGGAGCAGAAATTGCAACAATGCACCCAGAATCTAAGATTTTTAGTTATAGCTTTCTTCACAAGCAGTCATTCATCACTGAGGCGACAGCGTGCTTTTAAATCCCTCTGCAAAGTGCCGGTTTGTTGCAATTCTTGCATATAGATATCACCACTCTTAAGCTTGATTGGTCATGTTCTCAGCTGATTTTTGTGTAA